TCCAATATGTAGCTAGGTATAGATATAGATAGGCGGCTAGTCTTTCCTAGTTGAATCAATAGATTCAAACCGTACAAGCATATTTTCTAGGTCAAGAAGCCAAAGTCGGAACCTAAAACATGTCGTCCTATTCTAAACCAAGAAGAGATCTATTTTGTATTCAACCAATCACGTGAAAAGGCTCTTGTTCACATTACGTGTGCATACATATATACCAAATAAGCAATTCCGGCTGCAGTTAACTTCTTTAGAGTTCTCCCTTAATCACGGCATGCATGCAAATATAGCATATATTGTGGACATACTTTAATTCCTCTTCGTGTCTATCTGTACCTTGGCCGGCTAGCTTGACGAGCTACACCCTGTCTCTTGTTGTTGTAAAACATAGACCCTATCCAAGAAGGAAAGGAGAAGGAAGAGTCATAATCTAATCCTGGTTCGTTTGTACGTAACCTAATAATCTTAGAATCAGACTCCGTATTGGTCTAGAGGCGAGCTATTATAACTCGTATAAACATGGGTTCTATATTATTTATATATAAGTCCGGATAGAAGAAACTCTTTATTGTCCGATAGTTAGAGTGAGACGGATAAAAAAAAATGGATGGACGAAAAAAATTGGCAGAAATTTTGTCCCTTTATTATTAGGTATAGATATAGATATATTGCATGCTGTGTTATTCCACTGCTGCAAAGCATCTTCTGATCTATCTTTGCATTTTGATGTGTTGAGGGTCTCATGCAGCTAAAAATCATGTATGGAGTAGGTTTTAAATATGAAGTTGGGAACAATGGACTTCGCCACGCCATTGCCGCGTCAGCAGGACTGCTCTGTTGGAGCTGCACCGCTGAGAGAGGGAGGGTCCAGCGGCTCCAACCATGGAAAGAGGGAACCTGGAGAGGGAGAGCACGGTGTGAAGACTGAGGAAAATGGGGAGATGGAGAAATTTTCCGGTCATATCCGGTTCTGGTTGAAGTGCAGCAAAGGTATCATCGCTGTGGGTTTGTATGCAGTGATAATGAATTATTAGTGACGGAGACACGACCATAATATTTACACAAATTATTTGTATGGATTTTTTTTAGCAAAATGTTGTTCAGACATGATTTTTAACCAGTAGCAAAACACGAACAAAGATACAGTAGTTTAAAAAATAATCATGATGTCTTATGAACAAATAATTTAGAAAACATTAAATATCAATAATATTAAAGTATTTTTTTAAGAAAATATAACAGAACTTCGTCTATTACAAGCATAAACAAGTGCATGGCTTTTTTTAGGGAAACGTGCATGTCTATTAGTACAACTAAGGCCCTGTTGGTAGGGCTTTATTCATTTTTTTTTTACTTTAGCTTCACGAACGGTTCTACCAGTGGAGCTGAAGCGGTTTTGATAAATCGTTTGGCAAAATAGTTTCCCTGTGAGAGCATATTTTTATAGGCCTGGAGGAGGAGCCGGGAGAAGCCACTTTTTTTGGCTCCATCCCACCCCAAATCATTGTGAGAGCATATTTTTAGGGGCTTCACCAGTGAAGCTATTTCACTTTACCCCATTTAACAGAAAACAGTTTCAAACAGCTCCTAAAACCGATAGAGAAGCCCTACTAAATAGGACCTAAAAGTTGCAGCTGCAAGCAAACTTTGCAGCGATAGTTTGAACAAGTCAAACAAATCATCTTTTAGGATGGAGCCGATAAAACTGCGCCGCAGAGTGGACCATAGGTCCATAGCCAAGAACAATTGGAAATTAGGAATTGTCCTGCTGCAGATTGCATTTGTTTTGTCGTACGTCCTTTTTTTATTTGGATTGGACCAGCCCTGTTGAATGTTGACTGAAATGTCCTTGTTTATTAATTATCCTCCTCTGCTTTTACGTAAACTTCACGTTAGCTATTAATTTTGTTGGAATCTTTGAAGGAAACTTCCAAGCAACATTATTCAAACACACAGTTCTCTTTACTCAGGCTGACATTACCCATGTACCAAGATCTTGTAGTAGAGGTGCACATGATCTTGCTCATATTGGTTTGAGTTGGGACCGGATCGATCTCATGTTTGGGAGTTCGTGATGTAAACGAACCTCCCTAGAAATAACAAAGTACAAACCTTAAAAGAAAGACACAGTTCTCGTACACATTCTCGTGAAAGAGGAATCTCCAATCATATTAGGGCCATGTTTAGATTGCAAAAAATTGCAACCTGATGAATAGTAGCGTTTTCGTCTTATTTGGTAAATATTGTCCAATTGTGGACCAACTAAGCTCAAAAGATTCATCTCGTGATTTCCAACTAAACTGTGCAATTAGTTATTTTTTTTACCTACATTTAATGCTCCATGCAAGCGGCTAAAAATTGATGTGATGGAGAAAGAGTGAAAAAACTTGGAATTTTGATGTAAACTAAACAAGGCCTAGTTTGTGATGTTAAACACCTATCGTTAAAACTTCTCTCTCCCTCTCTCACGATTGACACTATATATAGTTAAAAAATAGAAGAACAAATAGACATAAAGTGAGTGAACTATTATCTATTTTCAAGATATTAGTAATTAAAAGTATTACTAACGGGCTTTGTTGTGGTATCTCCAAATGACTGTGAGTCATTCATTTAATTAGATCAGATGGCTATAATCATCTTTTTCTTCCTAGGAAGTAATATGTGAAATATTTATTTATTTAATTTTTAAATTTTATAAAACAAGATAAATAAGGAAAATTTAGATATAAATATTATTTTTAGATCTAATTGATGTCTATTGGATGTACAAAATCTTTTTATTTTTCACAACTTTGGATATGGCAAAATATAATTAATATAAACTATTTTTATGCAAATAACCGGTGGCGTGAAACATTGCATGCGTGCCAACAAACGTATCCCATCTTTTACATATGAATCCTGCCTCCAAAAGCTGGCCAGCCAGCGTGCCCACGTTGCATGCTTATCGAGGTCGTTCGATCGGGCGCGTGGACGGCCCAGATCGGGCGAGCCGTGCTCATTTTTTCAAAAACCCCTTCTATTTTTAGAAAATCAACCCGCGCTCCAGAGGCCCTCTCAGTATATTTTGCAAAAAAACACCTCAAATTATTTCGAAATCAACCCGCAGTCTAGATCGGATGGGCTCCGGGTTTTTTTTGCAAACAAGACCTTCTCTTTATCGAAAATCAACCCACGCTCCAGAGACCCTCTCAACAATTTTTGCGAAAACCTCCTCAGATTTTTCTCAAATCAACGTACAAGCCACCTTTGATTATATCTCTTTTTTAAAAAATAAATTAGCTGAAACTTTAAAATTGCATAGTAAATCACAGAAAAATTATAAATTAGAAAATCAAGTTGATCTGAAATCCTCACGAGTAGAACTATGCAGTGCATCCATAATATGGCATGTTTTAGTAAGAAGTTTTTCATATAAACTTTTACCTATGCTTTTTAGGGGTAAATAAAATTATACCTTCATGATGATAAAGTCTAAAAAATACATAAAAATCATAAAATGAAAATTTTTTTGCTAAGTTTCTCATCACTACACCTATATTCTTATTGCCACTGGCCTAATCGAAAGGGAAGGCGCGGCAAAACCACGCCCGCGTTTCTAGTTATAAAATAAAAGCGAACGCCAAAGTTCATGGCTCAATTAATATGTTAGTTGTTGATATTTTTATGCATGTAACATATTTTTTCAACTAAATTTGTAACATAACCAGTGTACAACTTTAACATAACCTGTAGTATAATAAAAAAATTTGATCACTTTTAAGACAAAAGTATCATCACGCCTTATACAATGATGAACTCTTGGATGCAAGCATCAACCTAGACACACGTCCGTGCAAAACTAGAAAAGGAATGGCACGCATGGAAAAGGAAGGGGAAGCCCGCAGGCTTATGTCCCTGTGATGTGTGGATTAGAAAAAGTCTGCCATCACCCTCTCACCTACCGTGGGTGGCCTGGCCTGCTTAACTCCCAACTTATAAAACTGGGTATCCAATATATTAAATTTTACAAAACCGGTCATTTTAACTCTTGTAGTTTTGGGCACCTGGTTTTGCTCCAAGTTGGCACACTGTGACATGGTGGCTGTCGGGCCCAGCTGTCATCCCCCACTTCCAGCTCCATCTCTTACCTGTTTGTGGCGTTCATGGTGGCGCCTGCGGTGGCCTGCGAGTGGGCTGCGTGGGGCCTGAACCTGACCAGCGAGGGCATGGCTGGCACGCAAGCGCTGGCGCTCGCGGGGCTGTTCGGCTGGCTGGCCGGTGGCTGGCTGGCTGGGCAGCCCCTCACGAATCACTGTTCACGTGAACAGTGATTTTAGTCCGAACAGTTTTTTTCCTCCTATAATAATCAGCTGAAACGATATTTTGATTTATTTTTCAGTCCTGTCGAAGAGGCTCCGCATTGGCGGGGTTCGGGTCCAGGCCCACCGGCAACCTCGTGGACCGCCTCTTCGTCCCCGTGAGCCGCGCGCTGGCCCTGCCAGATACAGCCGCCACCAACTGCATGTACCGCATGCCTGCCGCTGACATCGCAGAGCTCCAGGCCTTGGCGGGGTCTGGGCGCACGAAGCTGGAGGCGTTCTGCGTTCATGGCGCACCTGTCTGGGCATTGGGCTGTCTGGCCGGCCAGGCCCATCAAGCCTTGGCCTTAGGCAGAGCAGAAGCAGAGCTCATGTCTTGTCTTCCAAATCCGGCGACGGGCGCTCCAAATTACGGCGGCGGCGGCGCTCCAAATCGGACCTCGGCGGCAACGCTCCAACTCACGGCCTCGCAGCAGCCCAAGCCCACGGTGGTGAGGGCGTACCTGAGCCGCGACGAGGACGCGATGGCCTACGTGATGTCGTCGGGGATGCGGCGGGTGCGTGATGCCCTGGACCGGCGGTGACGCGATGGTACCCGTTCACGTCGTACCGCTTCCCCTGGCCCGGCAGCAGCGGGTACGTGATGCCGATGCCGAGCGTGCGGGGACGGCGACTGGGTGGTGTACGTGCACGCGCTGCCTAAGAGCTTGGCCCCGCATCCACCATGTCTCCGCATGCCAGCACGAAGAGGTGCGCGGAGGTGGAACGCGCCGAGCCCCGGCACGCCGCCGTCAGTGCCTGCAGATCCACCACCGGCAGCTCCAGCTTGCCCCCGCGCAGGACCTCTTGTTGCTCCAGCGCGTGGTCTCTCCGCCTTCGAGGCCCCTTCTGCCGTGACCCGCTCCCTCCTCCTCCCTCACGCCGACGGATGCGGGCCGCGCTACCCGGGCCCGGCCGCCCGCGGGCAAGGGCAAAGGCAGGGGCACGGCCGCCCGGCTGGGACCTCACCATCAAGGAGGTCAGCACGGGTGGCGGTGCGCCGGAGAGCAGCAGGATGGCGGCGCCCATGGAGCTGCCGCAGGCGCAGAAGGAGCCGATGGCCCCGCAGCAGGTTCCGTCGTGCTTCTCTGCTCCCGTACGTCTGCGCCAACTGGTACCCGGTCTTACAGGTGGGACCTGGGCCAGCGTGTCCCTAAGGTCCAGCTTGACAGCCACGTAGGCAAAACCTGGAGGTAAAACCACTGCAGGGGTTAATTAAACTGTTTAAAAAACTTTAATGTACTTGTTACCTGTTTTCACAGTTCAGGGGTGAAGTGGACACATGAACAAAGGTTAGGGGGTGATATAGACTTTTTTCTATAGGGATTTGACATAATCTGTTTTTCTTTTCCTAGATTAATTGATTCAAAAAATAAAAAAATTAAAGGCTTAGATTTATTTAAAGTATCACCTCTCGATAAGTAAAAGTTGTACCGTAGCATTGTCTATTACTAATTACAATATAGAACTCTGACACACATATTTTGGGTGAGATTTAAGGGTTTGGTCCTAGAAAACGGATTAAGATTAGGGTTCATCGTCCTCATCCAGTCGGATACCACAATTTTGTGATCAACAAATTGTGTTAAGAACAAATACTACTGGATAAGACTATCTTATGATCAAAATTAGCATCGCGCCCAATCGCAGTGGGACATCACAATTAGGGGGCCTTTGGATCCAGTGACTAAAATTTAGAAGGTGTCACATGAGGGTATCACATGGGGTGTTCGGATACTAATAAAAAAATAAATTACAGAATCCGTCCGTAATCCACAAGACGAATTTATTAAGCCTAATTAATCCATCAGTAGCACATGTTACTATAGCACCACATTGTCAAATCATGGACTAATTAGGCTTAAAAGATTCGTCTCGCAAATTAGTCACAAATTGTGCAATTAGTTTCATAATTAGTCTATATTTAATACTCCATACATCTCTACTATAATGGATCAATCAAAATTATACTAGATCTCCTATGAAAACGTCCTCCGCTGAGAGTCTCCAAACATTATGCACCCAGAAAAATGCACGCAACAATTCATTTTCTTTGAAATCAAGAGCTAATAAAACACCAAAAGTTATCCAACGGCTGACGTCGGATGTGTGATGCTAGGCTTCTCAACCCCATGCCCTTCATCCCACGCACGCGGGCTTCAAACGCAGACACCGCGCAACGCATCCAGGGTTCGATTCCCTGCCTGTCCCGCGCCCCCGCATCCATTTTTTATTTTCTTCCAAAAAGATAACGCTCAGGCCGCCTCCGTAGCTGCCACAGGCTCGATCTCGCGCCCCTCCTTCCCCAGCGCCGCAACTCCTCCCTCCTCCGCCTTCCCACAACCGCGACTCCTCGGATTCTCAGATCCCAAACCCACACGAGACCTCTCCTCACCCACGGCTCCCGTCGCGCCGCCTGGCGCGCCGGCCATGATGATGACGAGAGCCTCTATCTTGCGCAGTTCTTGCGTGAAAGCGGCGGCGCCCTAGCAAGGGCGCGTTCATCGAGTCGCGCGGGGCGACTGTGGGGAGGAGAGCGGCGGAACTTCGACAACACCGAGGCCGCCGCGATGGCCTATGACCAGGCGACCGTGTCCGCCTAGGGCTTCGCAGCCACGCTCAACTTCCCCGTGGAGTGCGCGCAGGAGTCACTCCGGCCTCATGGCTGGCGGCGGCGCCGCGCCGGTGCCTCCCTCCGCGGAGGATCGCCCGTCTTTGGCGCTCAAGTCATGACACTCCAAGAGGAAGCGGCGCAAAGAAATCGAGCTTCGGTGGCGGCGGTGTCGATTGAACGACGCAGCATGTCGAGAACGAGCAAGGTCGAGAACACCGCCGCCCTTGTGCAGCGCGCAACAAGCAAAGCAAAGCTGCTTCGTCGTGGAGCTGGAGGACCTCGGTCTTTGAGTACTGGAGGAGCTCCTCGAGAATCGCCGAGAGCTAGCTATGTGATCACCGCGACGTCGCCAGAATTCAAAGGTAGCTTGGGCCATGGGGAATGAATCTTGAATGCAATGTCCAAATCCCCTTTAGTTGTTGTTATCAATGAGGGGCATCATATTTCATTCAGAAGTGTTGTGATTTAGTAGTGCTAGCTAGCATAACTAAATACCAAAACTTCCCTACAAAATACCCTTGCTTGCTTTCCACCGGCTGGGAAAAGAGAAAAGGTACACATGTTCAGTTTGATCGCCTATCTGAAATCCAATGTGCACTCAGAGTAAGCAGATCGAAGTTCCACACCTGCCATTTGCTATCGTATGCATAGATTGCTGAACAGTATCCGCTTACATACAAGTGACAAGTGATGAGCAATTTGATGTCTATCCTAATCCAATTTGATCTCAGGTCACCCAATCAAGGATGGGATCTCTCGCCGATCCGTACGTGATACGCTATGTCTCCGACCTGCCCCTGCCATTCTGCTCCGTGTTCATGTTCAAGTGCGACCCGTTCGATTTTTGTTGTTTATACACTGTGTTTCTGCACTATTGTCTTTGTTCAGTTGTGCGATTGGAGATGGTTCTAATTGTGTAATAGTCTCGCGTATTGCATCATTGCATGAGATTGTAATGGTTGGTTAATGAAATTTGGAATTGTTGGGAATATAAAGTAATATTGAGAGACTGGTGTAGAGGTGGGATTTAGTGATCGAAGTAATGTTTTGGTTTCTCCGCTGATACTTCACTTCCTTGCAAAGTGAGTGCTTCCATGTATGTGTGCTTCTTCTCAGATGTGAACATGGTTATCTCGGTACCTATGGGGAGTGGGAAGACAGTACTGTTTCAAACTATGCGTTCTGAGGCTCCTCTCAAGGTTCCTTTCGCTAGATTGGTGGTTCAATTTAAATAAAGGAACTTTGAAAACAGTACGCTGATTCTGAATGCCATTTTACAACAATAAATTAAAAGGTGAATAACATAATTTACTTTGAGGATTTTGTGGAGTACTCTCAATAAATTAATTATAAACAGGCTGAATACTGAGGTGGTGGAGAGAGGAGAGAGGGCTCTAAGCTTAATATGTCTTATTAAGATGGTTTCTATCACGAAGATTGGGTATTTTCGTCTTTTACCTTTGGTTTCAATGGAGTGTCCTATTAATTCCTCTCATCTTTAATTGATGCGCAGGTTGCAGCTTCGACTCTTCGAATTCCGATGGATCACGTTTGTACTAGGAAATATACTAATAGCTAGAACATTTGTTTGTGAATTTGCGTTTTTTTCATCAGTTGATTTATTTTAGTTTTGTGATTTATTTTCTAGACGCCAACGTAGCATTAGCACGGATATTGTACTATGTCTTACTATGCATGAGTATTTTTCCGATTATATACATAGTCATATACAATTCCGTAAAAATATTGTCATTTCGTTGTTTTCATGTGTATTTCTGAAATGAAACTATGCCGTTAACACGTACACTGTACTAGTGTGTCTAAACATCCGTGAGGAGTAACCAAACAACCCCCGGCTTCGCTCCCCAATCGCAGCCTCCACTCCAACGGACGGACACGTACCTGTCCGTGTCATCTGCCGCCAGAGAGCGCGATTTCAGACATGGTAGTGACGCTCGTCGCCGCCGTCGAGGTTGGACGCCAGATGAACCAGGACTCGAAGAGAGACTGGTTCCCCTCCATGCCCGCGAGCATGTCTAACGTCAGGTACGCCGCGGGCAGCTCTGGCAAGGGCGCACTGCCGTCGAGGTACTGCGTGACCTGGCGCATGGTCGGCCGCGCCGTGGGCGACGGGTGCAGGCACGCCAGCCCCAGCCGCAGCACCAGATCCGCCTCCGTGGCGTCGTACTCCAGGCCAAGCCTAGCGTCCACCGCGCCGGCGGTGGAGCCATTGCGCCAGTGCCCGAGCACCCAGTCCACGAGCACGAACCGGTCGCCAACCCCAACGGTGGTGGCGGCGTCATGTTCCTCCTCCTCGATGGGCCTCCGGCCGCAGGCAACCTCCAGGAGGAACGCGCCGAAGGCGAACGCGTCGGAGAGTGTGGTCGCCTTGCCAGTGCGCACCAGCTCCGGGGCCAGGTACCCCATGGTGCCGACCACATGCGTGGTTTGTGGGTCCGTGCCATGGTCGTACAACCTCGCAAGGCCGAAGTCACCCAGCCGCCCGTTCATCTCGCCGTCGATGAGCACGTTGCTTGCTTTGATGTCTCGGTGTATAACCACCTTCTCCCACTCCTCGTGCATGTAGAGTAGCCCGGCCGCGACACCTCTGATGATGTGAAGCCTCTGGGCCCAACCCAAGACGGGCTTGTTGTTGTCGCCATGGCAGTGTAGGTGCTTGTCGAGGCTGCCATTTGGCATGTAGTCATAGACCAGCAAGAGCTCCCCTTCGCGCCGGCAGTAGCCGAGCAGCGGCACAAGGTTACGGTGCCGGAGACGGCCAATGCTGGCAACCTCGGCGACGAACTCCTTCATCCCTTGCCTCGATTCGTGAGACACCTTCTTCACGGCAACCTCGGTCCCGGAACTCGGGAGCACGCCCCTGTACACCCTGCCAAATCCGCCTGCTCCGAGCAGTCGCTTGTCCCTGAAGCCACCGGTGGCGTCGTACAGGTCCTTGAATGCGAACCGGTGTGGCCCGAACTCCACCTCCCAATCTTCGCGCAGCTCGGCGTACCTGAGCCGCCGTCGGAGGAGCAAGCACGCGACGGCGACCGCCGCGAGGACGGACACTGTGGTGGCTATCGGCAGCGCGATGGTCAGCGCCTTGGACCGGGGCTTTGGGCCGATGCGAGGCAGCGTCGGCAGCTTGTTGTAGTCGAGAGCCGGAGCGGCGCCGTCGAGCGCGAAGCTCCAGCCGAGCACGTAGTGCTTGACAAGCACGATGCTGGACGCCGACGAGAAGCCGACGTACGCCGTGTCGGTGATGACCGTGGAGAGGTTGATCTTCGTGGAGATGAGCGGCCTCCGGGGCCTGGGCTGGCGCGCCGGGGCCATGGCCACGGTGACCTCGGCCGTCGCTGCGTCGTAGTCCAGCCACACCTGCATGGGCTCCCTGCTTATGAGGCTCAGGTTC